GGGAGAGTAATGATCTTGTTTACATAATTTTACTAATCTCAAAGTCTTAGTGAGGGCAAATACCTTTTTAAGTTAGATTGGAATTGACTGCATTCGTGTGCGCTGAGTTTTAGTTTGTATTTCGTCTATATTCTGAGTATTGTAGCAAGCGCACTTTATATACTCGAGTCGTTTTAATGGTATACCTTGTTAGAGAGCGGGTGTATTTGGTATTATATTCAGCCTGATTTTATGATATAGAACAACATACACTAACAATTTACGATGGTCAGCATGTGCAAAAAACATCAAGATCTGATACCTCGTTTTCTCCAAAGCATGCAGCATGGAACCTTTAGCTATGACAACGTCGTACAGTCTTCTTTTCGATCTCACCAACACGAGAATTTTCGCCTTCACTTTACCTGCCTTCCGATAAATTACGTGAAAGCTTGACATTGAACGTTTTTCTGATGGTATTTTGTGTGCGTCCATTAGGGCTTCAAGCTCATCTTTCGTCAGATCATTAGCATCGTGACGTGAGAAAGTGAATTTAGACGTGTAAAGTCGGAGAGAGCTGTGACTTGGTCCACTCCACCAGTTACCCATTTTCTACGCAAATGGAGAGATGAAGTGTTTGTAAGGTACGAAGCTGGACAATTTTATTTACTTTTCTGGAAAATGCCGCTGGATCTGAATAATAATAATTATAATAAAATGAAATTAGCAGCAGGTTGATCGTAGGAGTAATTGTTACTTACACAGAAAGTAACCAACTATGGATCAAGCTTGGTAATGTTCAGAAAAACTAACACGAAGGAAAAGTTACGTTCGCTTAGGAAGGCATCGTTCCTGTAGCGAGGAAGAGCTCTAGCGTTGTAAACAGCTGTCAATATCAGACTGGTAATAATAAAAACAGTAGTAATAAAAATAATCTAACAAACAGAAATATCGAATCCGATTTGATATTTCTTTTCGTTGATTTCGTTGGATGTTTTTTTTTTCGGATCCTGCCTTTCAAAGTTTTTTGCGCATGCGGAAACCACTATTAGTGCTCTTTTAATCTCTGTTTCTTCGGGGACAATATCGCAGCATGAGAACCGTATCCTCGTTAAATCGATTATTGTTGGTTGGGAAATTATAGTTTCCTCTAAAGTTATTTTTCGTCATAAAGAACGTTCGTCGTATTATCTAAGCTAAAAGCATAATGTGAAAATATAATGTTTTATTCGTGAGAGAAACAAGGTCCAACTTAAAACAATATTTAGTTGTTATCAACCGTGCGGGAGGTCTGTTTGAGAGAATCTTGAATGGAGACACATTATACACTGAACGGGGTGAGGCTTTTTACCAGCTACTTGCAAGAAATCATAAGGCCGAGAATTGAGTAATTCTCGTTTTTCTCATATACAGCCTCAATCCTTTAGCTGGTTTGCTTCCGTCACTAGTTTCCAGTCCAAACAGGACAGAAAGAACTTTTGTATCAATGAATTAAACAAATAGCAGTTTTTCCAGAAAGCTTCGATGAATTTAATAAACGCTTGTCACAAAATATAATTAATTTCAATGCCTGTCTGTGACTTGATATCTCAGAGATCAGTCACCATTCAGCCTTGCAACTTTCGACTAATCATTTCAGAAAACGTTGGTAATGCATGTATAGCTTTCAACAAGCTTGTCAATATGTATTTCGGCAAAAATGGTTTGTGGCTGGAATTATTGAACTGTATAGATATTTATCGGAGTTAAAGTGGAATCGCACACTTCCCTTTTCATGCAAAGGTTTTCGAATCATTGCCAGAGTCGCTTAATGTTCACAGTTAATGCCCGGCACCATCTTAGAGATGAGAAATTTTGTACAAAGAAGATCGAACTCATTTCCTTAGGGAAACTTGTTAAGAGATAAAGTTAATCTAATTCTTAAGAATACGGGTGATTCCTCGACGAAACGTTGAAGGCCTGAAACTCGCTTAAGTTACAGTAACTCGAATTTATAAGAATATGAGTGATTACTCGACGAAACGTTTAACGTTATAAATACTCGAATTCTCAAGAACGTAACGAAACGAAACGTTGAATGCTCACTCGAAAGCCTAACAGAATTCAGGCGACCTCTTTCCGAAGTAGTAAGGTAATCATTATAAAATCATGGAATATCGAGCTGCAGCCAGTCGAGTGAATGTTATGAATGACATGCATTTGTTCAGAAAACCAATCAGCAAGTTACCTTTCGATAAATGTTCCGATGGCTCATTGTAGTTGGCTTTGCAAGAAGAAGGAAAGTGTAGTATTTCTTCCTTTTACGATAACTTAATTTCCGATAAACACTCTATTCCTGTCTTGAATATGGAAAGTTATTAAGGAGGCCAATTTGAATAACAAAGGATTTCAAACACAAAGAAAAATTTTACATAAGGTTTCAACGCAGGAAGACCCTCATTTCCGAGAAATCTTGGGATGCTTGATAACACGAAAGAGGGAGGGGGGGGGGGGGGGG